CGACCGTTCTGGTTCTGCTGGTAGTTCCACCAGGCCTCATGGCGAGTATTCAGATCTCCTCCAACTACGAAGCGGGAACCGGTACGGGTGATGGTGGACAGGTCCTTCTTAAATTTAGCCGCTAGTCCACTGCTGGCGGCACACTGTCGAGGGCAGTAGACGGCGATGAACTGGACGTATCCAGTCGACGACTCCACCTCCACACCAAGGGCCTCGATGATAGAGGTGCGAATATTGGACAGAGTGTGGTATTTTATTCCTTTCTTGACGACGACCGCAACACCACCCCCCCTGGAGCTGGTGCGATCAAGCCGGATAATATTGTGGTCAGGCAACCAGAAGCTGTCGCCGGACTTTAGATGGGTCTCGGTTAGAAGGCCCACGTCGATGCTGTGCTTGCGGAGGAAGTCGGCAAGCTCAATCTCTTTTGCTCTTACAGAGCAAGCATTCCAGGTGTCGATACTTAGCGGCTTAGACGCCATACTGGATGATGAACTTACCGAGCACTTGGATCTGTTCGGGCTTATTGCGGCACTTACGAAGAACACCGGACATGTTGACGAAGATTTCCATCAGTTCATCCGCTGAGAACAGATCGGGGTTGTTGTTTTGCGCTGTTGGTTGACTCCAGAATCCAGGGGGGGATGGAGAGCTTTGGCCAGCAGAATCACCGGAAGTTGCTTGAGCGGAATGCACCCGCGAATTCACTTGCCTTTGCTGAGGAGCACGAAGGGGCGGGAAATCCTCCGTCCGAAATGCCAGGACTTTGTCCTTCTTGCGGCCTGGTTGGTTGTTAGTTGCCGCCTGTTTTCGGATGCGTTTGAAGTCCTCGCGTTTGGAGCACTGTCTGTCGGAACCTTGATGAGCACAACCACAGTTGGCGCATTTTAACGCCACGGCTCCATCCGCAGGGCAGTTGGAAGTGGCGTGTTCTTGAGCGCAGTTGCTACAGCGTGGCTTGATGTTGCAGTTGCGGGTACCGTGTCCAAAATTGAGGCACCGCTGGCACTGCGTTACGTCACGATGGCCGCCACGGTATGGCTCCCATCGTACGATGATGGAGTAGACCGATCGGATGGCTTGCAGCGCATTGAGAGTCACCGTCCCTTTCTGGAAGTGCACCAGGAAGAGGCAATCCGGGGACGTCTTCACGTTTTCGTCTCTCCTTGCCATTCGGAATACAGCGATTGGGGCTAGCTTTTACCGGTTGATTTCAGCTTCGACCATCTTGGGGTCGAAGTTTGGTAGACCCCTGATGACTACCTTGAAGGGCTTCTCACCGGGGATGTCGTGCGTGAAGAATTCCGCCTTGGAATCCTTCAGATATTTCACGGCCACTTCGTACTCCGCTTTTGTTCGCAGCATCACCTTGGTGCCGATCCTGCCGAGCTTAAACTCAGCTGCAACGCCCAGCGATGAGAGATCGCCAATCAGCGTGTTGAGTGGTACTTGCTTCACCACCAGTGGAGGAAGCTTGATTTTCGCCGCACTCGGGCCGGCAGAATTCTCGGTTTCGACGGCGTCGCCGAAATCACCGATATCGCTGGCGTTCGTCTCGGTAACATCGTCGCGTCCGCTCGTACCATCGGACTGTCCTTGATTCTTCTTCCTCTTTTTCGTCCGCTTCGCCGGGACTGGGTTGGTATTTTCAACATCGGTGGGCAGAGTAGCGTACCTATTTGAGGTAGGTACCGAGCTACCCTGACCACTGTTCTTCTTCTCTGCTTCACACTTACAAATTTTCGCCGAGATTCCAACAGCCGAGTAATTCTGCAATTTATTTTGCTGAGATTCAGTCAAACAATTGCCGAGACTCAGCAAACAAATAAAATTTTGCTGAGATATCAGCTAACAAACAGATATTTTGCAGAGATATCAGCAAAAGTAAATACCGAAGTAATCGGCTGTTGAAGATTTTACCGAGCTAGATTAAGTGTGTTGGTCACGAAGTCTGCTCCGAGAGCGCTGTCTTCCCATCACGCGATGCGACCGACACTACTGACGACGCGACGTGCAGTATATCTGCGAACGTTTGTAACAAACTATAGGTTAATCGAACAACTCGACAGAGCGAGCAAAGACCGAACTGTACTTCTTGACGTTCAAGCAGCTAATCATGTTCTATCTATCTATCTCGATCTTTTTTTTTCCTTTGGTTTGTTTTTTCCGTCGATCTTGTTTTCCGTGCTGAGCACCAATGCTACCGACGTGCCAGGAAGGCAGCTCCCACACCTGGACCCTACCTATCGACCCATCAACTCATGAACCGGGGACCAACGGCTTTACTTCCCATCCGAAGGAAGGCGTGATCAGAGATGTTATGCCTTAGAACATCCCGGCGGCGCCGACTGGTATTGAACCCAGGCCTGCTGGGGTGAGAGGTAATCACGCTTACCACTACACCACCGGCGCCGTTATCTATCTCTATCTATGATGCATGATATATGCATTTAGGTTAACATCCGACGTCCCTCCTTTTTTACATATTTTGCAGAAAAATACATTCGAAGTCCCTGTTTTTTTACATATTCTGCACAAAACATAGGGGAATTTACGTATTCTCGTCAATCTAAGCAGCGTCCGCACTTCTATTAGCATTTTGTCAGCGTTACGCACATATATCACGTGTCTGTTTGTTAACATTCATCTGCTGCTTGCTTCTCTATCCATTCCAATCGACAGAATTTTTCAAACCGGTTTGAAAGCGATTTTACAACGCTCCAAACTTCTCAGGTGAGTGTGACTATTGTCGGCAGCCTCTTTTTCTTCGGCAACCTTCCCATTAGAACTGCGTGTTAACCAGCTGTTCTATTATCGGCAACTCGAAATCAGCCCCATTTTGTAGTGCGTATACTTCATTTGAAGAAAAATCTGGCATAATAGGATTGCTCGGTCGTACAAATATAATCAGATTGAAGCTGAAAGACTAAAGAATCGTTTGAATACATTCAGGGAAGTGTGTTGATGGGAAAACATAGTGAAATTATCGTTTAAATTTTGGTTGCCGAAAACAGTCAATGGGTGCCGAAGCCAACATTTACCCTACTTTCTAAGCCCCGCAACTGACAGGATTTCCCGCCATTTTATTATGAAGGACGCTTGCTTTCGGATCCGCTTGAAATCCTCGCGTTTGTGACACTGTTTGTCGGACCCTTGATGAGCTCCACCACAGTTGGCGCATTTGCACGTTTCCGACTCGTCGATAACGCACTCGGAGGAACCATGATTTTGGGCGCATTTGCCACAGCGCGGATTGATGTAGCAGTTTCGGGTGCCATGCCCGAAATTCAGGCAACGCTGACACTGGGTGACGTCGTGACGGCCGCCACGGTATGGCTCCCATTGAACAATGATGAAGTTGATGGAGCGGATGGCCTTCAACGCATTGAGCGTCACCGTTCCCTTCAGGAAATGAACCAGGAAAAGGCAATCCGGGTACGTTTTCACGTTTTCGTCTCTCCTCGTCATCCGGAAGACTGCGATTGGGGCTACCTTAAGTTCTTCTTCGATCGACTTGGGGTTGAAGTTCGGTAAGCCCCTGATGACTACCTTGAAGGGCTTCTCACCGGGGACGTCATGTGTGAAGTATTCCGCCCTGGTTGCTTCGTATTCCGCTTTGGTACGCAGCATCACCTTGGTGCCGATCCTGCTCAGCTTGAATTCAGCTGCAACGCCCAGCGATGTGAGATCGCCAATGAGCGTGTTGAGTGGCACTTTCATCACACCCAGTGTGGTGGAAGTGGAGGAAGCTTGACTTTTGCCGCACTAGGGACGGCAGAATTTTCATGCTCGACGGTACCGCCGAATTCACCGATGTCGCTGACGTTCGTCATGGTGTCACGGCCACTCGCACCATCGGACTGGCCCTGATTCTTCTTCCTTTTCTTCGTCCGCTTCACTTCCGCTGGTAGGGCATTCCCAACATCGGTGGGAAGAGTAGCGTACCTATTTGTGATAGGTACGCACGAGCTACCTTCACCACTATTCTCCACTTTCTGATAATCCTATACTACTACCACCGATCTATATATGGCTACACTGATGGCAGGGAAGCGACGCGCAGCGTTGGTGACCTTCGTCGTGGTGAACTTGATCGAGGTAGGTACTCAGCCCACACAGGCGCACGATGATGGATGAACGGTGCTCACACTCGGTGAAGATGATGTTTGAGCAGGTATGCGTGACCACGCACGGATGATGCGCAAATTGGTTCGTCGATTACCAATCGAAGAAAATTAATTCTTTCTTTCGATAATGTCGAAAACTACACTTTCTTCTAAAAAACTCACTTAATTAATTAACTAGTCCGGAACTATGCCAAGAATTACTAAGCGAGCACCAATGCTACCGACGCCAGGGAGGCAGCTTCCACACCTGGGCCCTACCTATCGACCCATCAACTCATGAACCGGGGACCAACGGCTTTACTAGGCGTGATCAGAGATGTTATACCTCAGGCCTGCTGGGGTGAGAAGTTGCCAGTGTTATATCTGTTTGTCTGTGGTTGAATCGACGCAAAAATGATTCCACTTCGTTTTCTTTGAAAGAGAAAGTATAATTATGCGAGTATCGGCGGTATAGTCCACATAAAATTTACATTAGCCGTATGTCAACATTAGATTGCAAAAGATGATTTTGCGAGATTTTCATAATTGAGGCCTTTTCAAAAAGAAAATCAACCATTATATTTAAATCGCTGGTAGAATGTAACCCCTAAGCTTCGTGATAACATTGTCCTTTGTAACTTAATTCATTCCATTTTTACAAACTAGTGATTGGACATCACAGAAAATTTAAAAAAAAAATGCATCGTTTTACATTATAGGCCATACTATCCCCCGATCCTTGCAATCCCACGTTTACAAGCACTGTGTCCAAAAATGTTACCATTGTCAAGTTATAAAAACTAAATCAATGCTAAGCTAAGTTCCCACAGTTGAATAACAGCAACGAATGGCAATGAAATATCATTTCGAACTCCCTTTCTTTTTCGTTTACAGTTCACACTCGGAGAGCGAATCGGAGGGCTCACAGCGGTCATCCACCGGGAAAGATTTCGAAATTTTGGACCACGATGAGGTAGAAGGATCGTAAAACACACTGAACCCAACAGATGCAGATATCGATGATAAAGAAGAAGACAACACTGATAAAAATGATACAAACATTTAAAAATGGCACACTAGGTGAAATGATAATACAACAAGAAAAACAAAAAAATATAACTGCTATATCAACACCCACTACACACAGCCACACTATTATTGTATTTATAATTTATTTGTATTTGTTTTTTTTTATTAGTTGCAACAAATTGAGCGAATAAATTAGTACATTAAACACTTAATGATTTAGCAATGATTTGGGTGGTGTGACTAACATCGTTTGAAGTTTGGCAAATAACCACACGAGCGACAGGTGTAAAATCAAGGGTTTGAAAGAACAATAACGAAACGATTCAGCTTCGGCAGTGGAATTTAGAGTTGGCAGCAGCAATTGGCAATAGCATAAGTAGACTTGGATCTGCAACTTGAATCTGAACAAACAAAAAAGAAAAAAAGAATTATATCATAAAACAAGCTAAAAGTTGTGCGGTGAAATGCACGAGAGTCTGGATATCTAAGTTTTAACAAACTAATGTTAACACATTTAGCAGAGAAAATCCCCTGCATTAAACCAAAATATCATGTAATGAATCGTTCGGCCATTTTTTTTTAGATGGGTATTATTTTCCAACAAATATACAAAGGGATAGCGTACAAACACAATGCAACAAATCAAGATTAATTCCATCCTGCTTTCTTGTTTGACAAAGTAAAATCTAAAATAAATATCCAGGATGATAGTGTTGAAGTAGAATTAAAAAAAAAAGAAGGTCATCCTTGTACTGATAGCGAAAGTTACGATGAGAATATTTATTTGAATAGTAGAGAGATGAGTTTTTAAACTCCTTTAAGCTCGGATTTAGACGAATGGGTAGAAATACAAACGTCTCAATGAAGATGCAAAAAATACAAAACAAACTAGTAATTGAAGATAAGATATATACATTAATTATGGGTCGAGGAAGTGGGTTATGGACATCCGTTGGTGGTTATCACGTTCTCTTGCGTTGGCTCTCTTGGTTACAAATTCAATTATTTTTTTTATGTTCATTGTGTAACATCAATATGGAATTTGGTTCACGAAACGATGCCCGTTTTGGTTCATTATATTTGTTACGCTTGTAGTAGTCAGTCGCATAATGCTTGTTAAAAGGAACTGTATTCGAAGGCATGACAATTAATGGCCTCGGAATGTACATAGCTGCCCATTTGTATGGGATATTTTCGGGACGAGCTTGCGTGTCTGTTTTCGTTCATTAAGAGGGGGCCACTTGATCTGCTTTATGGGCCTACATTCCTACATTCGCATTCCGTAGGACACAAAACAAAAAAACTTATCTCGAAGCGCAAATAGGTGGAAAATAGACACCATGTAGGACCATGGGCTTGAGCTCTATTTTAATTAATTTTATTGTTCGGTAAACATAAGATTTTTTGCAATACAACACTTATCATACAGTACCGATAGCGTGTAGTTCAAAACAATTGATTGTCGGTTTTGCATAGGGTAGGTGAGTCAGTTTTGGTGCTTGCTTCAGTTTTTAAACTTGCTTGCTAAATTCAGTTCGAAAACATTGAGTTCAACAGCTCATATTTGATTTTCAAATATGTCTTCACTAAGTAGGTCATTTGGCCTATTCTGCGCGGCGTGTGAGGTGAGGTGACTCACTCTCACTAGTGAAGTGACAATTGTCACCTCGGGTGAGGTGACACTCCATTTGATTTGCATGGAGAGTCACCTCACCCCAGGTGACAATTATTGTCTCCTCACCTCACAAGCCGCGCAGAATAGGCCTACATATTCTTAGCCGTACGGCTAAAAATCTGAGATTTTGTATCGCATTTTTTTTTATCCGAAATGCTCCAAATTTTGATGATGTTTATGCTCAAAATGTATGAAAAATGTTCAATTATAATCATAAAGTACGACATAATTCGATTTCACACTTCATTTCTTGATTTTATAGAGCGGCAAAAAATTGGGACATCTAATCATAGTGTGCGCTAATTGCGTTTAGTGAGTTTGTTTTGACAGTCCGATTTTGTTTTTGTTTTACAGTTCCCTTATGTCGTTTTCGTTTTTGCGGTGTAGCTACACCGGTGCTACACTGCCGTACACCGAAATATTTTAGGGTGTAGATATAGGATGCACCTTTGTTTACAAACAAATGATGTTGAGCTGTCAAAGACTCGCACTTATTCCTGCTTACACTACACCAGTGCTACACCGCAAAAACGAAAACGACATTAGAAAAACAAAATAGATAAATTTTAAGGTTCCTACAAGAATAAAACCGATTAAAAAGAAGCGCAGGATCCGCAGGTCCCTCAGAGGTGAGATTGTATTCGGAGCTCACCAGTCTAGAAAGAAACCATTACCGATGGAATGAAGCCAATGCTGATCTTGAAGAGGTTTCGTTCTATGCCGTTATGTTGCCATTCAGCACAGGATGTGGGAATCACCGCTTTGCACATTAAACTGCGTGCTACCAGTGGTAACCACTCCAAGACTCCTAGACCAAGCGCCCAATGGCTCAAATCCACGCTTGGTGCCCATTCATTTTATTTAACGTCGGTCTCTGTTCCGCAATATAGAGCAAATCACCGACGGACATCGATCGCCATCCATTGATGGCAATCGAATGTGCAGGAAGGCAGCTTCCGCACCTGCATAGGATATCGCACGCATTCAACACACATGGCCCGGGACCTACGGGTTTACTTCCTTTCCGAAGGAAGACGTGACCAGAGATTTTTATGCCTCAGAAAAATCCCACTGACCTCGGCTGTGATTGAACCCAGAACCATTGTGGGATGAGAAAGCAGTCACGTTTACCACTACACCACTGGCGCCAGCACGCTTCGTGCCCATCTACCCCAATCCCAACGAATTAGACTCGCCGATAGTGAGTTCTCTATGCTCATCGTCTGTATGGCGTGCCGCTTATACTTCACCAGACATAATTATTATTACTTTTTTGGGTTACAAAACTTAAAGACACTGACTGTTATTAACTGAATTGAAATAAAGGCAAATTAATTTTAAGTTTATTCATGGTCTCTCCCTTCCATTACTTTCCATTCCAAAGCTTGCTGCATCTTCTGGCTTTGGGTTATTTACCTAGTTAATTCTTGTAAAAACTAAATTATTTGCTGTTCAGCCTAGGGAAACATTACTTTTGTACTATCTTGCATATGATACCGGGTAAGTCTGGCTAGAACATTCCTTAGATGGGAAATATTCGGTAACATTTTTTCCAGCAAACCAGCTTAAATAGATTTTGATAAACAAATTTATTTTTTTCGTCCATCTAATTTGATTAGTATTCAATATTGAATCTAAGGGAAATTATATTTACTGAAACTCTCATTATGAAATCCTATAAATTAATTAATAAAATGATTACTTTATTTCACAACCAGCATGATTACATTGTACCCATTATCAACAGAGTATTTTCAGGTGAAATCTGCCAGAAAAATCTGGCCCGACTCTTTCCGATCTGAATGAAACTTTATACTACAGCTATATGAGATTTCCACAATCCCGAGACCATTTTGACTAATTTTAGAGAAGGGCGTATGTGTTTTCACATATGAATTTTTCAAAAAATACTAACTCTAAAACCTTTTTTGTACCAAAATAATTGTGTCTTAGAAGAAGTGGATTGGACTGTAAAAAATATATACACTAATACAATGTTAAATGTTTTCAAGAATAAAAATATAAAATGTGAATTTCTCTTCATTCCAACGTAAAATTTGTTTAATATTTTCTGATATGACCTTATATCATAAGACAATTTATAAAGGTAAATCCAAGTGGAGCAAATTAAAATTAAAAAGTTCATACAAGAAAAACTTCATGAATTCATCAAATTTGATTAATTAGAATGAATGAGAATATCACAATAATTGAATACGATTCTTTAGGTCATAACATATCAAAATGATCTTGGTGACCAGATACAACAAAAGGATGAAAGGCAAGTGTTTGACTCATAAAACCTGTCAATTTCGCTACCAGAGTGTTACAATAAGCGATTTTATGATTCGTGAGCGTTCACTCAGAGTGAGCGCTCGCGAGTCGTAAAATCGCTGATTGTGACTATCTGAAAGCAAATTTGACAGGTTCAATGTGTCAAATACTTGCCTTTCAACCTCTTCTTGTATCTAACAAGTACAAAATATGATTATAACATCTAATGATTTCAAAATTCAGAAAATCATGTTTTTATAGCAAGTGAGTGGAAGCAAGCCTGGAGCTAATACTAGATAGTGGGAACAGATTAGCGTGAGCGTCATGTCTATTGATAAGCACTTTTGCATCATTTGACTGATTTTGAGCTACACATATAGCTACACACCAAAAAATTATGAATTTTAATGTTGATGTAAATACCCATGCATGCTAAAATTGAAGCATGTAAACTTCATTTTTGAGGAAACTAGCAACATGCAAGAAATATTGCTTAGAAAGATGGATGGCTGCATACAATATTTAGAATATTTCATTAAATGTCTTAAAAATTTACACGATCTGTATTGTGAATTTGTATGATATGTGACGCTCCATTTATGTGCATCATAGTGACAGAAATTTACACTACTTTTTCGAACTGTGAGACCTTTTCTGCGTGGCGATTGGGGGAGATGACTATCTGTCACTCTGTGGTGACGTGATTGTCCGTGCCAATCAAATAAAAAATTCACGTCACCATAATGTCACCAGAGTCACCTCATCTCACTCACTGCGCAGAATAGGCCTGAGTAATTCGCGCATCACGTTTCCTTACGTTCAGGTTCGTCACTTTCTATTGAAGTCTCCAGTTCCACCTCACTCAAATAAGCTTAAGTATGTACATATGTGCCTCCATCGGCTATCGCATTTCAATGGAGGCGCAGGGTACCTGTTCGAATAAGTGTGTGGTCATTTATAAGTGTGTTTTCCCGATCTGTTCATTCACTTACCATACAGCTACTGCCGTTATATGCATAACTGTCCCATGTTCTATGCAATCATTATTGGTCGTGGGAAACTTACGCGCATTACGGCAGAGCAGTGAATGACCAATTTGGATTGATTAACACTCCGAATACGGTGGGTAAAAACTTTACGCCGGCTACGAAGCCTCCGAAAAACGTGTAACGGCAAGTTTGCAATGGCACAACTTAGCCATTTCTTAATGAATTTCAAAAATTGTGGTACCTTTAGAATTCCTAGGGTTTCTAGATGATTTTG